CAGTACTGCACCCTAACCACTGCACCACCTCGGCCCTTAACTTTCTAAGCAGTTGGGAGAATCAGTTGTTGGAAGAAATCTCCTTTTGTTTTTTCCCCACTTTACAGGGCTAATCCTGTAAGGAAGGCAGGAAGGAAACATTCTGGTGTTGTTTCTAGCCGAATCTTTATTGCCCTACTTACAGAAACTGCCTCTCCGGTTAACCCTTGCTACATTGTAGACAGCTAAGGCAAAGCGCTCATTGACGTGAGTGATGTCAAGTTGGCCACGCCTATCCAGTCACATGACCATCGAGTCACGCCTACCCAGCTCGTCATGAGGGCAGAGAACCGGTTGTTAAATTATTTGAATCCCACCACTGATAGAACAACTCAAAGAAGAAGTGCAGCATTGGAAGATGTGGAGAGATTTGGCCCATATAATTACTAAGAAGGGGAGGGGAGGGAGGGAGGGCGGGAGAGATGAGAAAAAAATATTAAATATTAATTAACTGGCAAGTGGACTTTCTTTGTTTTTCCTTGAAGATACTTCGCTTCCCACCCAAGAAGCTTCTTCAGGTCTGACTTAATATTGGGAAATGGAAGGATTTACAGTCATCTGGTTATTAGTACTCTCTTTGAGAGCCGTTGAGGCCACTTGAAGGTTTATCTGGGCCCGCCTGAATAGTGCAAATGGTGTGGAACTTCTTGGAACTGCTGAACTGCTACTGGATGTAATGCTTAAGTCAGAGCAGAGGTGGTTATTCAGCCAGTCCTGACAAGTTCTGGAAAACCGTAGCGGAAATTTTGAGTAGTTCGGAGAACCGGCAAACAGGCTGGCCGCGCCCCCCACTGTCTCCCTGATTCCCAGCTCATCTTCTTTTGTTGCCCTGAACAGGAGAACTGATCTGGAAAGCAGGTTAGTGGGGTGGGGAGGAAATGGGGATTTTGCAGTATCCTTCCCCTGCCCCGCCCACAAAGCCACACCCATTTGAATCCCACCACTGAGGAAGACTTTTGTTCTTCCGCAGTGTTGGTGGAAGAAAGATTGGATTACACTCTAAGAAAATGACCCTCTTAAAAACTATTTTGAAAGTTGTCCCCTCCCAGAAAAGAGCCGAGGTGGCACAGTGGTTAAATGCAGCACTGCAGGCTACTTCAGCTGACTGCAGTTCTGCAGTTCGGCTGTTCAAATCTCACCGGCT